ACCAAAAAAAAAAAAAAAAAAAAAAAAAAAAAGGCCGTTGCAACAGTCCCTGACCTGGGGCTCCTAAAACAGAAAGCAGCTGGGGCTCTGGTAGGTGGAGGATGGGGGGCGCTTGCCACAGGCGGCCTAGTCCTGGGGTTTGGCTGCAGTGATGTCTCACATGGGGGTGGGGACGGGGAGGGGTATAAAAACATCTCTGGACCAAAGCCCCAACCTCCAGCCTCTCAAAACCTCAAGGCTCCCCTCGTCCTGTCATGGGGATGTGGAATCCATAACTGAGGGTCCCCTCTTGAGCAGATTCTCAGGAGAAGGTCTGCCAGGTCTGCTTTTCAGCTAAAATCTTAGTTCAGAAGGGCCAAGGTCACATAGACTGTAAAGATTCAGTCTCAGGACCTCCGCTTCGGGCCCCTCTCCCGATCCCTAATACTGGTCTATTGCTGGGGCCTGGACCCGGAGCCAAGGCCACCGCAGAGCTCTGGGCTCTAGTGTGAGGCTCCCTTCTGCCCAGTGCCAGGGTGGCAAGGGGAGGTAGGTGAAGCAGCTTACCTGCCCCCCAGGTCCCAGCCCTACTGCTGCGGCAGCCCCCAGGAATGCTGCTACTGCATTCCTGTGGTGGGGTGTGGCTGCCCACAGCTCTGTTTGCCCAAGGCCTGGCCGGGTTGCTAAGTAAGTCATAGCTCCAGGTGCTGAGTCAGCAAGCTGGGTGCCCATCATTCTCTGGAAACCGAGCACCAGTTAGTTAGTGGTGGGAAGCTGCTGGGACTGTCTGCTTTCCCCTGAAGGAGGGAGGGGTGCCTCAAGGCTCCAATGTGGGGACGTCAGCAGCAGAAAGGGGTGGCAGAGTCTGGGCCCAGCGGTCTGCGGTGGGGGCGATAAGAACTTGGGGGTCACCGTGTGCGTTTCAGGGACCAAGCTGAGGATTTTGGACCCAGAGAAAGGGGACTACTTTGCCGTGCACCTGCATGTGACCATGACCGGCGCCGAGCTGGCTGCTGTGTCCCACTCTCTTATCTCATGCAATAAAACTGACTCAGCCATTCCTTACCCTTGATTTTGCACGCGGGGAAACTGAGATGTATCCCAGGACTGGCGATGAGAGGCTGGACCAGCCCCTCTCCCTCTGGTCCTCAGTTTCCCAAGCCGGCTAGGGTTCACAGAAGGTCTCTAAGCCCCGGAAGTAAGGAAAGAGAACGCCCGAGGGATCGGAGGAGAGGACAGAGAGTATCCCTCACTGGCCTCTCCCTGGCCGCCTTTGATCGTCCAATAATACCGGCCGCCTGATTCTTCTTATCTTTATGGGCAGCACCTTGGCCTGCCGCCTTCCCACCCCATCCTGGCATCCTGAGGGTAGCACAGGACTTCCTCCAGAGAAACTCGTGTGGAGCAGAATGCCAGAGCCACGGGGGCAAGAGACATCAGAAGTCTGGGACGACGCTGGCTTTCAGGGCCAGATCTTGTCCCTTGATCCTGATCCTCTGGGCCTGCTGACAGCAGAATGGGCAGGGTGTGAGCCCTGGGTGCCAGGGCGGGGCACACAGAGTGAGGTGCAGGGGGGTGGGGATCATGAGGCCGGGAGTTTCGATGGCTGGTTTTGGTGACTTTTGATAAGAATGGAATGGCAGAGCCGTTGGGAGATGGGGTGGGTAGGGTGGGGGTAGCTCTAAGGTGGCCAGGCACCCTTTACTCCATTGTCCTGTTCTGAGGCCCTGCTGCCCCCTGCCTGGCTGCCCCCTCAGAGCAGATGACACTGACTTGTGTCAAGGCCACGGGTAGCAGTGCTGCCGTACCGATGCCCTCTTCTCTGAGAGGCTGACCCTGGAACCTCAGCATGGGGAGCATCCCTGGCCTCCGGGTGGATCAAATGCTCCATCACTGTGCTCTGAGGAAGGGGGCATTGCCCTCCCCCTGGGGAGTTCACAGGCAGAGGGTGGAGGCAGGCAGGGCTGTGGCAGGCCAGTCTGCAGGTGAGGAAGGCAGGGTGGGGCCTCAGGACCCTGGGGTCAGGCCTGGACGAGGACAGGTTCACAGGAGAGGAGGGGGAGTCCCCCAGGTGGGCCCGAGGTGTATGCTCAGGTCATAACACACAGGAGGCAGAAGCTCGCTCTGCGAAAAACAGTAATAGCATTGCTCCCTGGGGAGAGGGGGTCAAAACAGAATGTCTATTACAGGGCAGCAGTGGCAGGAGGCATCCTGCCTCCCTCCCTCCCTCCCCCCAGCTCCCACCACACACCTCCCGCACAGACACACTGCACATGCACCCACAGGAAGACACTCCTATTGCTCTGCCTGTGCGTGTGGGGTGTCTGCGTGTGTATGTTCACGTATGTGCACATGCTTACGTGTGGAGGCCAGAGGACAAGCTGGGACGTCCTCCCTCAGGCTTACATCCTTCTGTTTCAGATAGGGTCTCTCACTGGCCGGGAACTTGGCAAGTAGCCTAGGCTAGTCCTTGTCCCCTCCCCCCCAGTGATGGATTATGAATGTATTCCATCATACCTGACTTTTTTTTGTTTTGTTTTGTTTTTTGAGACAGGGTTTCTCTGTATTGTTTTGGAGGCTGTCCTGGAACTTACTTTGTAGACCAGGCTGGCCTCGAACTCACAGTGATCCGCCTGCCTCTGCCTCCTGAGTGCTGGGATTAAAGGCGTGCGCCACCAACGCCCGGCCATACCTGACTTTTTATGTAAGTTTGGATTCAGGTCCTCATGTGAACTGTTTATTCAACCCCTCCCTTGCTATTATTATCACCATTATGACGTTGTTGTTGTTTCTCGAGACAGGGTTTCTCTATGTAGCTTTGGACCCTGTTATTTTAGAGACAGAACTCAGGGGTTAAGAGCACTGGCTGTTCTTCCAGAGGACCCAGGTTCAATTCCCAGCACCCACGTAGGCTCACAACTGTCTGTAACTCCAGTTCTGGGGATCCAATGCCCTCTTTTGGCCCCTGAGGGCACCAAGCACACACGTGGTTCACATACATGCTACACATACATACGTGTAGGTTAAACACCTATACACATAAAAATGATAAGTAAATCTGAGGAAAAGACGGGTTCTCAAGTAACCAAGGATAGCCTTCAGCTAAGGATGCTCCTTTCTTGACCTCTCAAGTAGGATTACAAGAGAGTGTCAAATTCAGCTTTTTTCTTTTGGTGTATTGAGATAGGGTCTTACTCTATAGCCTGGGCTGGAGTATGCAGTTTGGGCTAACCTAAAACTCACAGCAATCCTTTTGCCCTCACCTTCTGAATGCTCAGATCACAGACCCCCGCCCCCCATCACCACACACACCCAGTTTGGGCAGAGCTAACCTGGGGATTTTGCACGTTAGTCAAGCATTCGGCTACCTGAGCTACATCCTCAGGTGTGTGACTGAGCTAACCTTTCCTCCGCACAGGGCATTAGCAGCGGCCTGTCTGATGCAGCTTCTCTGTGTCCCAATGCCTCTGTTCAGTCAGATGTAGATGCCTGTGCGCCCAGCACTTTCACCTGCCTCACCCCTACCCCCACCCCCAAGCCTGCCTCAACCCTGCACTCATGTGTCATGTGCCTTCACACAAGGGACCACCTGTGTGTCCACAACACGGAAGACACTGACCAGCTCTCCAACACAAGGCCTGTGCAGCAGCTTGCTATCTCCAGGACAGACCCCAAGTCAGCCGGAACCCACAGGGTGCGAGATTCCTGTGGACTCCACAGAGAACCCTGCAAATGCTGACTCAGTCCTTCATTTGGTCTCCCCACCCCTGAAAAGGGGAGGTGAACAGTCTTTGGGATGGACTCTGTGAGATGGTCCATAGTGTGATGTGTGTGGATTTCTGGGGTCAAAGCCAGACAGACGCTCAACACGGGCTGGCTGTGCAGCCTCTGGAAGATGGGACCTCTGCAGTTTCAAGAAGACATAATTGCTGGGTGCCTTCAACAAACCTGTCATGTTCTAGGCTCTGGCCTGGGCTCTGAAGCCTCAGACTGACAGTGAAATAAATCGATCTCCAATCCTCCCTTCCTTGAAGATGCTCACCCTGCACCAGGAATGCATCAGTTCTGAGTCAGTGCAAGGTGCACTGGAGATGCAGGGTGCCTGAGAAGGAACAGAGCTGCCACTTGCCAGGGGGTAATGTTTATCGAGTGACTTTCCCTCTTTGACTCAGTTTTCCTATCCATAAAATGGGCATGCCCGGGCGTTGGTGGCGCACGCCTTTAATCCCAGCACTCGGGAGGCAGAGGCAGGCGGATCTCTGTGAGTTCAAGACCAGCCTGGACTACCGAGCGAGTTCCAGGACAGCCTCCAAAGCCATAGAGAAACCCTGTCTCGAAAAAAACAAAAACAAAAACAAACAAACAAAAAACATAAAATGGGTATGAAAATGACCACCTGGCTGGACTGCTGTCCACATTCAATAGGAACGGCACAAAGTCAGGTGACATGATGACTGTGGGGAGTTGCCACCTTGGAGTGGTGTCGTCGTCCCTCCTTCTAAGGGAAGGGTCTCAGAGTTTGGCCAAGGCTGTCTGTTCCCATGGCATTGGGCCTGCATCCCCTGTGTGTTCAAAACCAGGGCTCACTGTGGGATGTAGCTCAGTAAAGGCTCCATTCCAGGTGTCCTGCTCCCTTCGGTCTCCTTCCCACTTTGGTGTGGAGTTGCAAGAGTCTGACACTGGACCCTTCCTTTTAAGATACTTCTTTAAAATTACTTTTGTTTTATTTTGGAGACGTCTCACTCTATAGCCTTGACTAGCCTAGAACTCTCTGTGCAGACCAGACTGACCTCAAACTCACAGAGATCCCCTTGTTTCTGCCTCCCAAGTGTTGAGGTCAAAAGGCAGATGCCAGGCCCTTATTTATTTTGTGTTGGCACACGCCTGCTGCACGAGCCATGCAGGCGAGCGTGTGGAGGTCAAAGGATAATCTGTTCTCTGCTTTCACCATGTGGGCTCCAGGCATCGAACTTAGGAAATCAGATGGGGAAACTGAGGCTGGGTGATGTTTTTTTCCCCCCTAGCTGGTCTTTGGTTTATTCGAGGAATTGGTATGAGGACAAAGGATAACAGTTGCAAAGAGCATCCTGGGGCTACGCTTGAGGTCAAGATTCACAGCGCCAGCTGTGACTACTGGTGAGCATTGCTAGAATGCGCCAGTCCCCCCCCCCCCCAGCCCCTTGCAGGTGGCAGTGTCTGTAGGCTTCCTGGAGGAGGTGACTCTCAAAGGCGCTTGGGGAGAGGGGCGGAGGAGGGCGGCAGGGGGGGCGGGGACCACCCGCAGGAGATGGTGGAGATATGCAGAGCGCTCAGCGGGAGCGTCCGGTGACCCCAGGCCGGTCTCAGCCGCCTCTCCCTCGGCGGAGGATGCGCCCCGTTTCCAAGGCGACGGAGGCTGAGGCTCTTCAGGCCTCGACCCCCTTTACGAGGCTCAGAGCTGGTTCCTCTCCGCGGGGCGCCGACGCAGCGGGGCCATAAACCTTACGTCAAAGGAGGCACCTGCGGGGTCGGAAGCCCGGGCGGCCTGTGTGAGACGGGGCGGGGTGGCTGCCCCAGGTCTGTGGCTTCCCCTCCCCCAGTGCTCGGGACCTGTTCGGCCCAGCGCACCAAGGTTTCGGCGTTTTGCTGGGCTCCTGGTTGTTCCGCGCCCAGCGCTTGTTGCTGCCTGGCTCATCTTTTAGCAGCAGAGAGGGCAGAGAGACCGGAGGACGTCAGTGCGTGGACTGAGCAGGGCTGGGGACAAGCCTTGCTCGTCCAGGGTAGGGCCGCCTGAGTCCCACTCCCGCCTGTGCACTGCTGGGGCCACCCTGAGCATCTCAAATTATGGTTTGTTTTATTTTGGCTAGACAGAGCCTCATGTAGTCAAGGCTCACCGCCGACTCTGCTAAGTAGCCAAGGCTAGCCTTGAAATCCTCATCCTCTTGCCTCCAGCTCCCTAGTGCTGGGGATTACAGCACTAAATCACCACACCAAAATGTGACTGTGTGCTGAGACCGGTTTCACTATGCAGCCCAAATTGGGCTCGAACTCACAGCAATCCTCCTGTTTCAACATCTGGGATTCCAGGTGTGAGCCATCACACTCCATTATGTGTGTCATTCTGAAGAGGCCTTTGATGGACCTGGTGAGAAACCCAGACAACACACAGGAAGTACACACAGTAAACCAGCCATTTGCACTACCCCAGGAGGTTCCAAGTTTCCAAACACACCGGGTCCTCAAGCAAGCTGACTCCCAGGTTCCTATCCTACCCCAGCCTTGAGAGGAGGAGAGGGCCCCCACCCTCCAGGCCCCTAGTTCCTATACTCACCAGCAAGCTTACGCCCTCACAAGTTCACACTCATGCTGAGAAGTGCCCAGTACCCTGCCAGAGCAGACACACACGCCCACACACCCACTTCCGCGTGTGCAAGGGATACTACCCTAAAATGCATGCTTTCTTAACGCCTAGTTCGATAGGGTTCCCTACATACCAACCTGGGTCAGGGCCCTGGACTCCTCCCCTGTCCCTGTTCCCCCTTCCCGTCCCATTTCCCTCCATCTGTCTGTCTTTCTCTGCCAGTCAGTCTCAGGGGAACCTCGGCCCATTCATCTGGTGTGAGGTGTGAATCCATCTATCTGCAAGCGTCCCAGAAGGGAAGTCTTTCGTCACTGGGTCTGGTCCTTCTTCCGGCCACACCCACCCCAGCCAGACCCCTCTCCCTTCCTCAGCAGGGCCTCTCATCACTCATCCAGATCCCCACTCACCCATCCCACACCCTCCGGTCTGTTTCCCTCATCTGTCAATCTGTCTGTCTGTATGTCTATCCATCCATCCTTCCTTCCTTCCTTCTTCCCTGCTGGGCCCCATCTCTCTCAGCTCTCCCTGTGTCCCATCCATCAACTCTCTGACAGTCCTGCGCTGCCAGGTAGTCACCTCCTGGCTTCTCATCTGTTTGTCTGTCCACCATCCATCCATCCATCTGTCTCCGAGCCCATCCATCCATCTATCCACTAGCCCATCCATCATGCAAGCCACTTTCGGGTTCTTGCCACCATTCCCGTGCTCCCTGGGGGAGGCTCCCCTCAGTAAGCACTGGGCAGGGGTGTGTGTGTGCCCTGAGGTACCCTTGTGGCCCTCAACTCCATCAATAACTGTACTGAGCCTGGAGCAGGTTACCTATGGCTGGGGAGGGGAGGAGCTAGGGGGCAGGTTTAGGGGTTCTCAGAGGCAACAAGCCTACAGCATGGCTTCCCCTACCCTTCTGCTCTTCCTCCCTTCGAGCCTCCACCCAGGCCGTTGGCCCAGCTGTGGGAAAGGAAGAGGGTGACACTTGACAAGTCCCATGCCAGCCTGGGGCCCCCAAGTAGGGTGTTAGCGATAAAAATAAGCAAAGCTGGTGTCTGAGGACCTGCCATGTGCCAGGCATTGTGCCAACTTTTCACACTTCCCTGCCTACCCCCACAAGGTGGATACTGGATTATTTTTATCCCCACGTGGCGTAGGAGAAAACAAGCTTGGAGCCCAGAAGCATCTCTTTGACCTCTTCACAGTCGATGAGGGCCAGCCACGCCACGGTTCCATCTTCTCGCCTGCCTAGGGAACACTTGGATTTTTTTTTGGGTGGGGGGAGTAGGAACCAGACTAGAGAGGGGCACAGGAGGCCACTTGGGTAGTAGAGTTGAACCAGGACCATAGGGTCAGATGGGCTTGATCTTTGCCGCAGCAGGGTGGCGCAGGTTTGAACTTCATCTGTGCCTGCCTCAGTTTCCTGGCCTCTGAAATGGAGCCATAAGGACGATGACATAGGACAGGTCCAGGGGAAGCACCTAGAATGGAAGGTGGGGGGGGGGTCAGAGCGGAGGATGCTGGCAGCCAGGTGGGGGCATTTCCTGGAGATTGCTCTGTGCAACCTCTGTAGTGGTGGGAATCCCCCACTATTCACCGTCTCTGAAGCCTCCTCTGGGACTCTCGGCAGGATGCCAGGCTCTGTACTAGGCATACTCGTGCCAAGCTCACAAGTCTCCAAGTGGGGGAGCTACTGTTAGCCCTGCATGTCCTCAGGGGTAACGTGTAGTCAAAGAGCAGAGACCCACACACTGCGAGGGCTGGGGTGGGTGACTAAACGGGGCAGTCTGGTGAAGGTGAGGGGCAGTCTGGTGAAGGTGTCACCGGTGAGCTGAACCAGAGAGCAGCCCTGAAAATGGGGGGGGGGGCACGGTTGCCCCAGGCAAAGTGAACAGGGAACGCCAGAATCAGTGAGAAGCAGGGTCCCTGATTTCTACCTATACTGCAATTGCCCTAGCACAAGGGTTATACGAGACCTTTCCCTGGGGCTGACAGCCTTCAGGGGCTGCCCTGGGGAGGCCTGACAAGGCAGAGAGCTCAGATCTGAAGCCTGAAGTCAGACCAGAGATGTAGTCCTCACTGTGGCTCTGGAATTTTCCACAAGCTCCTCCCCCTCCATGGACCTGGCTCTTCCATAGAAAAGACACAAAATGGGGCTGGAGACATGGCTCAGCACGTGAAGGCGGTTGCCTGAGACCTGAGTCCCATCCCAGTGACCCAGCTGCCAGTCTGTCTCCTGGAACCTCCACAGGGGCAAGCAGGTACCACAAAATAGGTACTTGTCAAAAATAAGTAAGAGAAGCGGGTTGTGGTGGGTGCTGGCCCACGCCTTTAATTCCAAGAGACAGAGGCCGGCAGATCTGTATGAGTTCGAGACCAACCTGGTCTACATAGCAAGTTGCAGGCCAGCCAGAGCTACATACTCAGACCTTGTCTCAAAACACACACACACACACACACACACACACACACCCCAAACAGAAAACAGAAAAAAAGAAAAAAGAAAGACAAGGGCTTGATTTCCCTGTGTTCCATACAAGTGGGGTGAAGTGGGGTGTGCTTGGTGAGGAAAGTCAGTTTTTTGGGGGGGGGTTCGAGACAGGGTTTCTCTGGGGGCTTTGGAGGCTGTCCTGGAACTAGCTCTTGTAGACCAGGCTGGTCTGGAACTCACAGAGATCCGCCTGCCTCTGCCTCCAGAGTGCTGGGATTAAAGGCGTGCACCACCACTGCCCAGAGGAAACTCAGTTTTGAGGTGGGACTCGTGTCTTAATACGTAAAATGGGAATAGAATTTCGTCTTGGGATGCTGCATACTAGCATTGTGTTCCTCTAGCACGCAGCAGGATTCATAAACTCACGTGGGCTCCTCTTTTGCTTTGATTTCCAATTATGAAGCTCGGGCTGGCCTTGAACTCGGGGCAAGTCCTCTCCTGCCTCCGAGACCCAATCACTGGACTTGCAGGCCTGAGCCGCCACGCCAGGCTTACTTTACTTTTTAAGATACTTCGCTGCAGGCAGGCCCGACACGCTGAGGCTAGACAGAGAAGGTAGGGATCAGACGTCTAAGCCCAGCCAGCTGGAAGGCCAGGAGGATGTGGACAGATGGGGGAGGGAGGGCCCCGCGGAATGAGGGGCGGGGGCTGGAGGAGGGGGCTGAGAATCCAGACTGGAGATGGGCGGAAGGCACCCTGGTGACCCTGGGGACTGAGCGGAGGCCCCGCCCCTCGCGGGGCCCCGCCCCGGCCCCCCGAGGGCAGGATTTGCGAAGAACCCACTTCAAAGGGTCCCAGGAAGCGCTTGCGAGCCCCAGAGGAAGCGGTGCAGCCTCTAATCCCCCTCCAGGGGTGGGTGGGGGAAGCCCCGCAATTACACACGGGTTTCCTCCTGTGCCACCCCCTTAAAATCTAGGAGCCCACACGTGAGTCCACGACCCTTACCTCAAACCGCCCTTTTCCGGGTGTGTGTGTGTGTTGGGGGTGGGGCGGGAAGCGGTGCCCAGCAAAGCTTTTACCTAGAGCACCCCAAAGCCTCACCCGAAAAGCTGATTAGCCAATTTCATTTTTCCCCTGCGCTTGGAAAGTACGTTCTTTTGAAAAGGAGGCTCTAGTAAAAGCCTGTGTGCGGTCCACAAATATTTGCTGAACACCTACCGTATGCCAGGCACCACTGGGGCCAGCAAGAGAGAGTGAACTCAGCCCCTGCCCCTCAAGGAGCCCCCTGCTGAAGGGGGCGGCGGTACCGTACACCTGACGGTGGGTTTGTTCGCGGAGGATATTTGGTTGGCTCTGTCAGCCTTCAGAAGTGACTTGATTGTAGCTGGAATTTAAGACCCATTGGCTGTAGACCCATTCGAGCATCCAAGGGCACTGACCATGTGACTTCTTGGAATCCCAGCCCCTGCCCTGGAGGGTACAAATCCGTCATTGTGCCTTTTAACAAACATACAGCTAAGACTCATATGCGCTGCGCAGCAGGAGACAGATATGCTGGCCCTCCAAACTTCATCTTAGCATCCGTTTATCCACCCACCCACCCCTTCTGAATCCAGCCGTCCATCTTACATTCCTTGGGGTATTCTCTATACTTCAGGACTTTATTCTCTAGGGCAGCGGTTCTCAACCTTCCTAATGCTGTGACCCTTTATACAGTCCTCCCTCATGTTGTGGTGACCCCCCCATATAGAATTATTTCGTTACTACTTCCTCACTGTAATTTTACTTCTGTTATGAATCCTAAAGTAAATATCTGCCATGGGATCCTAAAGGGGTCGCGACCCATAGGTTGAGAACCACTGGTGTAGCGCTTCACCAAGGTAGGAACTGTCTGGATGGAAAGAACATCCGAAGAGAGGACACCACTTGGACAGTCTGCAGGCAGGGAAGTGTTTGATGTCCTTGGGTGTGTTGACTCACACGTGTAGGTAGGGCTAGAGAGAGCTGAAGTCGTGCTCGGGGGACTTATCATGTCCCCTGTCTTACTGTCTCAAAAATTAAAAAAAAAAAAGCCAGGTGGTGGCGCACACCTTTAATCCCAGCTCTTGGGAGGCAGAGACAGATGAATCTCTGAGTTCGAGGCCAGCCTGGTCTAAAAGAGTGAGTTCCAGGACAGCCAGGACTGTTACACAGAGAAACCCTGCCTTGGAAGAAAAACAAAATGTAAACGTGAAAAGAAAGTGAAGGGAACTGATTCAGAATGCCACCCTTAGACAGGAGCATCTGAGCATCTGCAGAATGACTCCTGTATGCAGGCTACTTTTCTCCTGGCTCCAGGAATGCAGAGGCATCACAGTGCAACCATGCCTCAGGGAGATCGCCAGGCTGGTTGGAGAGATTGTTAGAGACTGCTCAGGAATCTGAGAAAGGGTTCCTTTAGCTCCCTTGCAGGTCCTCACTGTTCCAGGATGACTTAGGAGAGGACCCAGCCCCGGAAGCCACCCAGGGAACAGTCATCACACTGGCCTGGAAATCCTGCTCACAGACAGCGGGCACATCATTCCAGGTGGGAGACTGGGTCCAGCCTGAGCTCATTCCTTCCCCGGGCACAATGGGAGCAGGATTGTCCACCTAATGGGGGTCAGCTTGACAGTGCTTAGAACTGAGGCTGGTGTCCCCACATGCGGGGAGCCCTTTAGACGCAGTTGGCTCCAATTTTTTTTCTTTTTGATTATATCTGGCCCTTGGCCAAAGGCAGATGCAGATCAAAGCTGGTGGGGAAACCGAGGCGTCAACATTCTTGTGGGTGGTCTGCTTGTGCCCAGCTCGAAGCAGAGCTCTAGTAAAAGTGGGCACCTGAGCCGGCAGGTGAGCTGGCATTCTCTCTCTCTCTCTCTCTCTCTCTCTCTCTGGTTCCACCTGCCTGTCCTGGAAGCTGTGTCTGCTGCAGTGACACTAAAGCCCCCAGGGCTCCTTGGGGCCTTTACAGGGTAATTCCATCTTCATTACAGCTGATTACGCCCAATAAATACCACGTTCCAGGGCCAATTTATGAGACTCACTAGGGAACTTTCCCCCTCTCACAGAGCCAGCCAGGAGAAGGGGAGGGTGTGCCAGCCTCTGCCTCCTGCCACTGTGTATTTCTTCCCCTCAGCCTCCGCTCGCATTGCCTGCTGTAGATGCGTGAGAACACAGCCCCACCCCCACCCCAGCACACACCTCTTAGCATATGGCCCCAACACTGAGGCCTGCCAGCACCCTGGCATGGGGGGGATCAACTTTTGGGAGCTACGCATAAGACACATACACGGTACAAAGAGAAACAGCCCTTCGTGGAAATTAGTGCATCAAAGAACTGGCCAACACCCTGTTCACTTACAGCTTCCTTCATTCAACAACGGTTTTCTGACGAAAACCTGAATGCCGGCACTGTCTGTTTCCACTAACATTCAAATCTTCCACACTTGTTTTCCTTCCTTCCTTCCTTCCTTCCTTCCTTCCTTCCTTCCTTCCTTCCTTCCTTCCTTCCTTCCTTCCTTCCTTCCTCTCTCTTTTTCTCTCTTTCTTTCTTTCAAGGCAGGTCTGAGTGTATAGCCCTGGCTGGCCTGGAGTTCTCTGTGTAGATCAGGCTAGCTTGAGCTCCCGGAGATCTGCTTGCCTCTGCTTTCCTGGTGCTGGAATCAAAGGTGTATATCATGGTGCATGACCCATAGTATGTTTTCTAGTGTCATAATGAAAATACAGGGCCTGTAAATGTCATGTCACACACATCTGGTGTCTTACAAACAACTCATAGGGCTGAATATGTTGGTGAACACCTGTAATCCTAGAACATGGGAAGCAGAAGAAAGAGGCTCAGGAGTTCAAGGCCAGCCTCAGCTATATAGTAAGTTCCAGAACAGCCTGGGCTTGTCTGACCTTGTCCGAACAGTCACATCATGAGACTGCAGAGACAGAGACGGTGGCTCAGTGGTTAAGAAAGCATTTCCCCTTCTTCAGAGGACCTGAGTTCAGTTCCAAGCACATACATCTTGTGCCTCACCATTGCCTGTAACTCTAACTCCAAGGGATCCTGTACACTGTTTTGGCCTCTGAGGCACCCAGATCACACACATATCAAAAAAAAAAAAAAAATAGGCCGGGCGTTGGTGGCGCACGCCTTTAATCCCAGCACTCGGGAGGCAGAGGCAGGCGGATCATTGTGAGTTCGAGACCAGCCTGGTCTACCGAGCGAGTTCCAGGACAGCCTCCAAAGCCACAGGGAAACCCTGTCTCGAAAAACCAAAAAAAAAAAAAAAAAAAAAAAAATCAAAACAAAGCAAAAGCAACTGACAGGAAGCCAACAGAAACCACAATGTCCCCAGCTTAGCGTGTCCAACAGAACACTTACCCACACCATGTGTGTGCTGGGCACGTGCTCCACCCGACTAGGTAGGCATGCGCATGCACGTGCCTATCCGCAGGGCCTTCACACACTACACTCCCTGCCTCCCCAGACATGATTTCCTCTTGCTGAACGGCATGTAGCCATGATGAGAGCTGTGATTTGCCTAGCGAGTTCCGAGTCCTGGTCTGCGCAGTTTCCAAGTGTGACCTTACTTGATCTTCACAGTGAATCTCCCAAGTGGGTTCTTAGTGTCCCCCAAGGAGCACAGGGAGGCTCAGAGGAGCAAAATGATTTTCTGGGCTTCTCGTTACTGCCTCCACAGCCGTGAAGGGAGGCACCCCAGGCACACAGGATGGGTCCTCTCACACCCAGAACACACTTAACGTGTACATCAACGCTCGCACTGACAGACATCCACGCTCGATATTGTACACAACGAGCTCGTGATTCCCCCCACCAGACATCCGTGCACCAACCCTTATGCCTCTCCACATATGTATCAGCACTTCTACATTCAAACATGTTCACACATACATGCCCGGCCGTTCTCAAGGACACTTGTGTGCTCACATTCTCAGAAGTCATAGGCTCCTCTCCCCATCCTGATCAAAGGCTTTAATTAATCCCAACACCTGTAATTAACCCTTTCTCTCCCCCTCCAGGGGAGATGTCTGGACCCGCTTCTCAGAAACAGGCGCCAAGGCCAAGCTAGTGGGTAGGACCCCAGGAGGACCTGGTACCCGGGTAGTATAGTGTGCCAGGGGAGTCAAGGAGAGGAAGGCCAGGGACCAGAAAATGGGCAGAAAGGTTCATGGAGAGCCAAGCCTGCTACTGCTGTTCCCTTTGCACTGGCCAAATGGTAACTGGGCAACAGGCAGTTGTGGGTGGCCAGGCCCGCTGCTGAGTTCACCTCATGCCCGTTTGTTTCACTAATGCTTAGCAAGAGAGATGAACTCAGACCTGAGGAACCTTGGCAGAGAAAGGGTGGGTGGGAGGCAAGCGTCTCCAGGGAATGAAAGCATACCGTCTCATTCTGTCATCCAGGGATCAGGGACAATGGTGTCCTGCTGGAATTCACAAGCAGAGCTCAGTTACCCATGAGGCTGTGTGGTGGGTCCCAAAATGCAGCAGTGGTTAAAACAGAGTGGACCCAGATTCAGAACCTGCCTCTGTGACTGGTGAGCTGTGTAACCTTCAGGCATATCCTAG